TTATCACTGACATTACAAGTCACATTAATTCTTGCAGTTCATGATGACATTAAAATGCTTTGTCCAGTTTTCTACTAACAATTTGCATTCTAGAAAGGAAGATGAAACATGTAACTTATTCTTTAAACAGGCTCCACCAGACTTGAGCAGAAGGGGGGGAAAAAAAATCTCTTGATTTCTACCCTCCCTGCAAATCATTTTTACAAGCATTCAATCTCCCTTACAATTCATTCCCTCCTAAGAAGTGTAAAACAGGAAATTCCTTCTACCCTAATTTCTCTTTCCTTGGTGGAATATTTTGCCTACTCTACAATACTGGTAAAGTTTCTCTAAATAAAAATAAGCCTCAGTCTGGTATTTGAAAACTGTTTCTCCCACGTCACAGTTAGAGGAGCAGCTCAGATCCTTTCGCCCATCTACAGTAGAATGTGCCTTTGCACAGCTGCCTTGCCTCTAAGCTTCCCATCCTCCCCACCTTCCCAGCAATTTCTTCAAAGGCTAGGGAAGAGAGAGAAGTCTGAAGGGCAAACGTAATAAAGGAGACAGAGACATTTTGCCACAGATGCTGCTAGCAGAGACTGAACACCAGTTTCGCTTGACTTCAGAAGTCATTGTCTTCTGCTGGTGAGCTCTGTCGAAGCCAGGGTTCACCAAGGTTACAGGAAAAAAAAAGGCCATACTTGTGTTGATCTGTGATGCTAAGCAACAAGTCCTAAAAACTAACAATTCTCTTGTCTTCCACTGGTTGCAATTAGAAAACTGCAAACAGGATCTTTGTGTTACAGATTTGAGACTGAGAGAAACATTTAGCAGTGTGACATTGTAACGCTACAAGCCACACAAGCAAAGAAAGAATCTTCTCGCTATCTGTACATCACACACACCATCAGCCACCACAGTCAACCAAAGTTCAGCTCAGCTCAATGCTCAAGAACCTTTAGGTTATAACAGTTATATAAAAATAATGTTAATTATTTGAATATTCAATGTTAACCCCTAATGAAAAGAAATGGCACAACAAACTAAAGTTTTTCATACTATTTTACCAATGAAAGAGATCTGAACATAAAATAAAATGAAGACATGTGAAGTAACTAACTTATAGAAAGTGAGTCACATTGCCATAGTATTTTTAAGAGGAAATACACAAACTCATAATCAAGTACTAGTGAGAGAAAAGAAAAAAAAAAAAGGCATTCTGAAAAGTTTTTTCTTTTTGGTACAGGCAAACAATCATTTACTCTAACTACAAAGACTTCTGAATACACTAGCTTCTTTCCCTTCACTTAGAGCATAATCCCAAATAAAATTGTCTAGTTTTAAAGCACTAGTCCCTCTCAATACCCTGATTCAAAAAGTTAAAAGATTAGTAACATCTTTGTCTAACACAATGTTCATGTTCCCATTAGAGAAAAAAAAATAGAAGAGCAGATATTATTCTTTCTGCTTCAAAACATACTATCTCTATAAAATACCATGAACATCAGCTCCTCCTTTCCTTGTTTGCTTGTTAACGACTGTAAATATTTATGGTGGCAGAGAACGCTATATGTTTACAATGCTTCCTTTCTTAAAAAGAAAAAAAAAGGGGGGGGGGCATTCTCCTTATCCTATTTGCTTATGAGCTTTACATGTAATTTTTTTTTCTTCAAACACCCAACCCACAAATTTTATGTTCCAATTACTGTGGGTAAGGAAGTTAGGGTAAGGAAGTTTTTGTGGGTAAGGAAGTTTTTTTTTTTTTAAGAAATGCTAATGAGTAAAGAATCACAGAACATGAGCTACTTTCAAAAAGAGGAAGCTTGTTAGTAGTCTGAGCACTGCAGTCTGTTCAAATGGTAAGTTCCAGGGACACAAAATATTTTTTTTTTAAATGCATTTTATGGACCTGTGCTCTAACTGTGCATCATATGACATCTGTTTTATAACAGTCCAGAAAGAATAGTTTAAAAAAAAAAATCTGAAATGAACAGTTTCTCATTTCAACTCTTAGAAAAAACACCAATGATGTTATTTCTTGACTCTGCATCCAAGAAGGAAAAAACAGGACACTCTAAGCAAAATATATATATATATAAAGGAAATGACTACATTCACACAATTGTGGAACAAGTCACTAATTCAATCTTGCCTTGTTACTTTAAAAGAGCAAACTTCAGGAAAGGTCTTGTTTAAGTGAAAAAGAGTTAATTTGCACTCTTAACATTAGCTCAAACAAAAAACCTCAAACCCTACAAAAAGATAGCTAACACACACTACAGATTTCATAAATAGAGTTATAATATACATGCAGCAAACACAAAGACTGAACAGGAAATAATGAATTTACAAAATGCAAGGGCAGATCAGATATCAAGGAAAAGGTTTCTACTACTAAAAACAGGACATTAAAACAGAACAGTAGTCAAGAAAGGGTCACTAGGTCCTGTCACTGAAAACAGAGAGCTTAGATATGAAAGGAATGTCACACAGAGCATGAACTTGCTAAGAGCATTTTTTCAACCCTAAGTAACATTGCTGTAAATATAGATGGGGCTCAGAATAAAGACTACTGAACTACAAGCCTTATACTCTGCTGACCTGTTTCAGACTCTTGGGTAAATCACCTGATCTCACCACACTTGTTTTTCCAGCTGTGAAACATCAGCAACATCTATTACACAGGGTCTTGGGGTACATTTTCATGCTTACATGCAACTGAAAGACTTGGAAGAACAGAAGTTTGCTTACTTCAAAAGTTTGTTCTGTAACTCCCCTATTAACTAGTCTAATAGCTTACAACACCTCTAGCTACAATCCTAATCTTGCTATTATTTTCTCATACACTTATATTTTCCCATCCTGTTCTACAGTAGCTGTGGTTTATGATGTTAACATAAGAACAACTAAACTCTAGAAGCTAAAGAATATGCCATCCTCCTACGCAACAGATTTGCTTACTACGGTTGTTCAGGAAGTCTGTTTACACGAACAGCAATGTTTTAGTGCATTTTACTCCCTTTAATCCCACAGAACTAGAAGTGATGAGGTACAAATGTCATTCCCCAACTGGGGAAATGCTGAATTGCTTACTAACTTATACTCCACCAAATGAAACTCTACATTTCTGCTAAATTTGCCCAGAGGGTTAGGACATAAACACAGTTGCACTACTAATTCAGTGCCTCAAACCATTTCAGTTTACAAGCTAGAAAAGAAGGAATGTGATTCTCCTATCTTGGCCTCACTTCACACAATACAATATTCTGCTTTTCAGTTTCGTTGGAGAATCACTGAAAAACAAAACAGAAAACCTTTTTTTTAAGACCTAGTTCAGTAGTTTCTGGGTCCAAAAACCAAAATCTGAAATGATAAAATGTACTCTGCTAGAGAAGTCTCTATTTAAACAAATTCGCAGATTCTGTTTTACTGGCTTGATAGTTCAAGTATAGCAGATAAGGAAAATAGCATTCCCTGCCACCGAAAAAAAGTAATGACAAGGGTTTGATCTAGAAGAGCAGCACAAATGATCTCACCTTAAAAACTGGTACCTGAAAAAAAATGGAAAGATGTGAACCTACCAGTGAAATACTGCTGTCTCATGAATTCATTTTCCATTCAGCCATTCGTTCTACTAGGTATCATCAAAATACAGTTGATTTTTAGAGCTGAGAGGTTATAAGACACAGCTTTTAGTTTGGGGTACTTTCTTTAGTAGAAACCAAAACTATTTTCTTTTTAAACAGAAAAAGAACTACCTTTTTTAAAGATGACAATTCAGTAAAGTTATAACGAGGTCCCTGTGTTTCTGCCTCCCCCTTTGCTCTCCCCCCAGTATTTCTGCTACTTCTACCAACCAACTGCAGCAATTTCAGATGAATAATTTGGGATGAAGAGTTAATAAATAGGGATAAGGGGTTATTGCACAGCAGCTTGACAATTTGTGTAGCAAATACCACTCCAAAACAACACTGCAGCAAGATTTCTCCATAAAGAAATGCCTTAGCTCCAATGCCCCACAAACCACCACAATGCTTTTTGTTAGCGTCTCACTGCAAATATACAGGGGGATCCTTGCTTTTAATTACAAAGTATTTCTATTTTGCTCTGCCTTTTTTTTTCTCACTTTTTTCATTTTAACTGTGTATTTTTAGAGGGAAAAAATACAGGCAACAAGACAGAAACCATTATATAATGGGAAAAGTAACCAAAATCCTAGCGGTACCAATGGTGGCTTCTTCTGCAGTGTTTAGTTTTAAAACTAAGACTGTGGTCAGGGTGCTTCCATGCAGTCCAACATTCTTGCTGTCACTCCAGCAGAGAAAGGTAAAGGCAACCCATACTGGCAATAACTGATGCGGTGTTAAGAGCGGAAACCTATAGTGTCAGACTCTATGATAGTCCCTTCATTGGCATGAAACTGCAGCACCCATCTTTTCTCTCCCAGGCACCCAAAGGCAGTCACATTATAATACAAACACCAAAATTTTTGGCCATTAGGAGAGAAAAACAAGTTTTCCTATACTGAATATATGATTTTCATTAATCTTCAAAATTTAACAGCAATATTAACAGTGCTTCCTGGGATAACAGGACATAGGAGTTTTTTATGCATGTATAGCAGAAGACAGGTACACCTTTTTTTTCCCCCGAGAAGCTGGACAGAGACGAGGGCTGGCTTCTATTTGCAATAAAGACTTACCAGTTTTAACTGTGGCCACATAAAAAAAATAAGCAAACAAAAAACCTCAGAACCTCAGAAGTGTGTAAAACAAACAAACAAAAGTCCACCACCAATTTTATGCTGTATAGAAACAGGGTTTAGAAATGCCCCTCTGTCCAAATACAACCTGTAGGATTTTCTGAAAGGCAGTGCTTGCATTTGTATACAGATTTATGATGCTGTTCTCATAGACTGAATCCTGCAGAGTATTTTTTCCTCAAGTCAGTTTCTTTATATCCTTACAGCATTGAGTAGGTATTCTATTAGTGTCTGCTGTAGTAAAACATTTGAAACCACACACAGAAAAACTGCATTTAATGTTCAAATTTACATATAACGCTTAACAAGAACACAATAGAATATATATGCTTAGAGACCACCTTTGAATGCTTTCAGTAGGAGGTCAGCTGCCAGTCCAGGAGACAAGACACCACTAAGAACTTTTTCTTCTAAAAGTGGAATCTTATCCTTGACTGCCAAGTGACTTCGGAAATGTTCCAACATATTTTCTTGGATGAGATTCCACATCCACACTTTCTGCTGTTTCCGGCGTTTGGCAATCAACTCACCACTCATGAGCATGAGGTCACGGAATTCTGTCATTTTATCCCACATATCTGAGATGCCTTCTCCCGTTTTAGCTGAAATACGCATTACCTGTTCCATTCAGAAGAATTTTTAAAGGAATGTAGTTACTGGTCTTGAGGTTTCAATCACTTCTTTACTTAGATTTCATGGAAACTAGGACCATGTGGATGGCAAATTTGTTTCAGTAAACTCATCTAATAAAGTTCCAAGTAGTTTCAGGCATTTCACTCTTTTTCAGGAATTCAGAAAAATTATATTCCGGCAACGGTAAGCAGACCATCAGATTTGGAATAAATGGTCTTTGTCCAACTGTTTGTATTAATGGCCGAGAACCATATTAAGCAAGTGCTTTACATAAAAAGTATGGTGTTGCTAATCTACTGAAATGAAATATTCTGGTAGTTACATACAGATAACTACACTTTTGCAGTTTAAGTAATCCAGAAAACAGGTGTTCCCACTTTTCTGTATTTGCTTTTTTACAAATTCATTTTGCCAAAATATTCCAGGCATCCAACAAGACCTTTAAAATAATATTGTTAAACTACATATGCAAAATCTTTATATACAATGTAATATATAAAGCTTCTTGACATTTTTTTCCTCAACTGTCAGACACTGCCATCACTGAAATAGATGCAGATTTCTGATAATCTACTTAAATTACTGGTCCCGAACAATTCTTCCAAGTCACATTTACCAAGCTGAAAAGACGTATCTAGATGTATCAGGTCCTATTAAACAAAACTAAACAGAAACCAACGAAAAGCAAAGAAAAAAAATCTGTTTGACACCTGTATTCGTATGTTAAATAGGAAATGAGAGTGATTTCAGTATTAGCCTGCATTCATTCTTCACTCATTGATTTTTAAATTACTCTGACTAGGATACTTGTTAGATCTAAAAACAGAAACTGCAAATTAACAGCTGTGTCTCATGCAGCCTAGCTGATTTAAACTTAATTCAATCCTCCAATCAACTCACAGCCACCTCCTTTATATATACATGTATATATAAATATTGAAAGTGTATCTATAATGTATATGAATATATATAGTATTATAATTAAAATATATTTATTTATATATATAAATAATGTGTGTATACAAAATAACATTCGCACTGAATCTGGTACTTAATAATTTACTATGCCTTTCAGAAAATGGAAAACTGTATTAGAAGCAATAGCCCTCAAGATGGGAATCCCAATAGGCAAGACATTGCATACACAAGCAGATGAAGTTATCGCACACAAGAACATCTTCTGTGAGAAATTTAAAAGAGCAAAGGAATAAAGGAAATAAAGTTAAACAAATCAACCCAGGGAGACTAATGTGTGTAGATGAGACAATTAGCAAACCTGTAAAAAAAAAGAAAAGTACACAAACCTTTGGTCTCCAAACCTTTGATCGCTTGCGAAGTAGCTTCATAGCACTAACATATTCAGCTTGTATTCTCCGTGCAGGCACAATTAAATCACCATCAGCTTTATTTATAGCAACTAGATCTGCCATCTCTATTATACCTCGTTTGATACCCTAAATGGAACATGGAGATAAATCGTAAGTACCCAAAATGACTGTGACGCACTGATTTATCACAGAAAGCAGGACAGAAAAAGCCTCATTGTTTTTTTGTGTGACCTGCCTAGTGCAAATCTGAGCAAGAGAGGCAAGAGTAGTACTAGTACCCTCCTTCATCAATAGTTACTACTCTGCTTTGAGCAAATGAATGTAAATATTGCAGTTTACACACAAAAAAAAACCTATTTATGGATAGAGATTTAACTGAAAGAAGACTAAGTCTTCAAGACTAACAGGATGTTTTCTTCCAAGAAAAAAAAGTAGTTCACAAATAATAACAGTTCACAATAAACCATAAAGAATCAAAACCTTACATCCTCAAATTTCCAACATCTGGAAAATTCAGATCCCAACTGTGCAACAAACCAACAAGGCAAATACTTCAATACTAGCAGCAATTTATAAAATGCTACTGATACAGATTTACCACACAGACAGATAGGACTTTTAACTATTCAAACTATTCTTTTGACACCACTTATTATTCAAAAAACAACCTAAACGTACCTGTAATTCATCTCCACCTGCAGGTGGTAGTAGCAATATAAACATATCAACCATATCAGCCACAGCAAATTCTGACTGTCCAACACCTGAAAAAATGAAATTTGCAATTCATGGCAGACTTTCATGTTGATGACACTAGTTTGAGACATCCCAGTATAGCACCATGTTTCTGAGGTGAACAAAAAACACATTAACATAAATAAAAGCAACAGGAAACATGGTTTATTTACGAACTGTACAGGATTAAAAGGATATCAATCAAAGACCATGTACAAAAGAAACTACGTAAAAACAAAGATGAAGAAAACAAAGTATGTAATTGGTGACACACCTTTGTGGGTATCAGAGTAAGACAATTAGAAGAAAACCCTAAGCACCTACCTACTGTTTCCACAAGAACAACATCGTAGCCTCCTCCTTCACACAGCAGGATAGCTTCATTCGTGGTCCTTGTCACACCTCCTAATGTCCCTCTGGTTGGCGATGGTCTAATGTATGCATTCATGTCTCTCGACAATTCAGTCATCCGCGTTTTATCACCCAACAATGAACCTTAAACATTTAGGATTAAATTATTTCAAAAGGGCATACCAGACAGATTTCTTTTCCAAAGAATGAGTAGGAAAAAAAGTTGGATCTCTTGGGAAGAAAAAATCCCAAAAACGGTGGCAGACAACTTTGCTAGGACTAGCAAGTTTACTCTTCCACCTGTCAAAAGCTATAAATGCCTAGGCATAAACAGACCTTACTGCTTCCAAACCTGGAGAATTTGTTCTAGGCCAGAAAGCATTCTGCAATTCCTGAATTGACTGTGGTCTATGCACGGAGGAAGCTGTGCATTAATCTTTGACAACAAAATTAATCTACAAACTTTAAATCAAATTCTGCAAGATTTCCAGGCACAATGCACATTCCAAAAGGTAAGAACTGCTCAGTTCATATAACTGCAATAGTTTTGGTATCGTATTTTGTTACTCTACCAATGTGTCTTGAATATATACATATAACAATATTGTCTTTGTTAGCTCTAAGTCACTGCAGTGCTGAAGTTTGTTTCTTTTAAATAGTTGTATCATAGTATTTTCTCTAATGACTTAGAAGTCCTGAGAAATGAACAATGTTTGCTGGTAGCAGCCCATTAAAAAAAAAACATTAAAGTTCTATTATTTATGTGAGATGTATTCATTAATTAAGCTTGATCAGCCTAGAATTTCACCAAATGCTCTGTTTTGGAAGGGAGAAAGACAAATGTCAGCCACACAACTTTGAAGAATGTCAAATTGAAAAAAGTAGTAGTCTGTGCTACTAAAAATCCAAGCTGATACATGTTTGGTTTGCAGTGGTATCCTCAGCATCTTTCCTATCCAGTGACCAGCCTTATTACTGTTGAAATGAACACTCTTCTATTCCTAAATTCACATGCCAAAATATATATGTAACTTGAGAGAGAAAGCAGCAGCTACCTAAAGTTTCTGCCAAAAAGGACCAGAGTAAAACAACATTCAAATTTCAGAAATAAACCTAACAAAATGTGGACATGGTCACTTAATTCCTACTTTCATATTACCTAGGGTGAGGGGGAAAAAAAAAAAAAAAAGTGGTGTGACATAGAATCATAGAATGCTTAAGGTTGGAAGGGACCTCTAGAGGTCATCTAGTCCAACCCCCCTGCACACACAGGGTCACCTAGAGCACGTGGCACAGGACTGCAGCCAAGCATTTATTTTTACCATTTTGCTTTTGCTTTTACCAGCCCCAAATTCATCCTCCACTGCTTGTACCCAAAGAGAATCTGTTACAGATGACAAAGTTATTGAAACCTGACTCAAACTTTGACTCATACTCACCACCACTTGTACTAGAGGAAGGGTCTACAGCCAACACGGACACTTTGTGCCCTCTTTCTGTAAGCATTTTCCCAAAACATTCTATAAAGGTTGATTTCCCAGCACCAGGAGGACCAGACAATCCTAAACAAGCACATTAGGGAAATGGAAAGAAACATCTTGTTAGTCAAATAAATAATACATCACGTGAACACAGTCAACTTCTAAGAGGCTAACAACAATTATACTTAAACAAGTATACAATTATACTTTGGCACATAAAAGGGCATACCAGAACCAATACTTTCAACTGAGCAGTTGTGATGACTTGTCATACAATACTTGAAATCGTTGGTTCATCCAAGACAGTGGTTGTCGCTTCACCGCCACACACTCCATCCATTCCAACAAACAATTTGCTTACCAAAAATCTCAAAAGAAATTAAACTATAATAGTTTATGACTTTTACTTTTAAAGTGTACTTTTAAAGTGTAACACCCTAAGCCTGTATTTTTTAGATTTACTAAGTGTTTGCACACGACACAGATTTCCGAAGTCAGGCATTGTACATATGTGTCAAAATATCCGAATAAGATTAGCCTGTCAACCTATACCAATTACTTTTCATTCTCACACCTATTTTTTCTTCTTGCTACCTTCGTAGATGTACATGAGGGACAACAGTTGGGCATAACATGCCTCCATAGTCCATCTCTTTGCCAGTGGAAATTTTATGACTTCCAAGAAAAGCAAGGCTCAACTCCCCTCATCTGAAGGGCAGGCTGCAGTAAAGTAAGGCCACAAGACAGGAAAGTAGATATTTTTTCTTTTGTATATTGATGAAGGGATTCAGAAAGCACTCAGAAAAACGCATACTCCATGAAAAGAAGAATGGTCTGCTTGGTTATGTCATTCCCTAATTGAGTGCAGGTAATGGGTTGGAACAATCATAAAAACTGTCAAATATTCCAGCCTGTAAAAGTTGGAAGTAAAAACAAAAAAAATCCCCAAACACTAAACAAGCAATAATTACTTCTAAGATTTTTCCCAAGAGCATTTTCTAGTTCAAGACATGATTCTAATGAACAGCTGAAGTGATCTGGATTTGCAGCAAATTACAAGAAATCAATGGTGTGAGACTACAGACCATAAAGCTTAAAGAGCGACAGCGATAATGAGAAGCGATGATTATAATTCCATCAAAGTAACTACTGGACAGACATAAGAAGACTGACCCACTCTAAAGGCAAGTGGCTTTCCTTGATTTAACTTTTCTTGTTCCCTGTGGTAGGATAATACCTTCTGAAGAAGCACCTGGGCTACTTTCTTTTTCCTGTGGTGAGTTGATTCTACAAGGGTAATGGCTTCCGCTAGGCAGGCTCTATGACCTTGTATTAGTCCACTGTAAAGTCTGTCTACAAGTCCTTGCTCTTTGTCAGAAAGTGCCTCTATCTGCTGGTCAACGGCAGCTTGATGACACAGCCCTCTCTTCAAGTTCTTTAATGAAAACATGTGTTTTGTATAATACAGGTGCACTGGTGCAAGAGAGCCAGTGCACAAAAAATCTGATCTGGTATTGCAGTGAAAGCTCTTGAAGCAAGTCCTTCCAGAAAAATAATGGTGAGGGAATCTCATCAGGAATGCAGGGATCTTCATTTTGGTTGGAATTAAAAGCAGCAGAGGCTATCAGTTCATTTGTTTGCAGACACCCTAAGGAGAACAGAAAAGATGTTATCTCTCTTGAATTATCCAAAACACTTGCAAATATTCAAGTGAAAAATATGTACTTTCCTATTTTGTCCATCCATACTTACTACTTTAAACACAATATACGGTTCATACTTTTTGCAGAAAAAAAGACAGAAGTATAAAAGTATAAAAGACAAAAGATAAAAATTGTAGTAAGAACTAGAGATACTAAGAGTACCATCAGATAAATAGAGAGTACTGTTACATGAGATAGACACCTAGCTATCCTGATGTCTGGGAACAAACAAAACAAACCAACATTTGTTCGCTTGAATTTGCCATGCATTCTGCTACTTTTATGTCTGCGGGCATTTTGTTTAATTGTTATTTAGAACACTTACTCAGGAATTGTTACTCTTACATAAATGTTCTTACACACGAACATTTATGAAAAAACTCAGGGACACAGTTTAACAGGCACGGTGGTGATGGGTTTAAAATTGGACTTGATGATCTTGATGGCCTCTTCCAACTGTATTGATTTTTTAAAATTCTACGAAACCTGGCGAGCTGAGACCCACGGGAGGACAAGCACCAAGTGTCGGAGCCCGCCATCACCATCAGTGCCCCAGGCTCCCCCTGAGCGACCTCAGCACCGACTAAAAGGCCAAGACTGGTTTAAGTTTCACTCCCTCACGGATAGAGCCTGCCTGCGGCTAAATCCCGGGGGAGTTTCCTCACAACGGCAGCAGTAACAGACGTTTTGGGAGTGCAGGAGAGGTTCCCATTTTCAAATGCTAACGTCTCCCCGGCCCGAGCAACGGCTCTTGAGGGGGCACGCGCCGCCCA